CCCAGTGCAAGGGCTCCTTAGACCCCCCGGATCAGCCCCTGATCCCCATTGAGGAAGCAGCAGCTAGTCACCGGGGGATGCTCAAAAGGCACATTGGGGTCCTCACTAACAGCCTTGAAAGTGATGAAACTGTATATAAAAAACAAGTTGCAAATACTTGTGAAGTAAAGAGAAAGATGGGAAAATGGAGGGAGGAATTGGACTATGAATGTAAAGAACTTAAGTTTTTATTGGAAAGAGAGCGAGATGAAATTGATAATGATCTGCTTATAGAAGAGAATGATGTTGAAGAAAAACTAATTGAAAATGGAAAGCAAATTTCATACCATATGTTCAGGCTAAACATTCTGTTAAGTAAAATAGAAGAGAAGTGTTTGCAGACAGATGAGGATTTACTCACAGGTATTGAAAGGATCCACAACGGGTATGGAAACCTAGAGACCCCAGCAGTGTTTTCATGTGAATTACCAAAGGAGATTTTCACTCTCCCCCCACATTACTTAGGCCTGCATAAAATGATCCGTATATTTCAGGTAGATTTGACGCTGGATCCTGAAACTGCCCATCTAAGTCTCATTATCTCAAGAGATAGAAAAAGTGTGACATATTGTACAGCAGATGGTCTTCCTAATCCCCAGGCACTTACTTCTTCCCCAGCTGTCCTGAGTTCTGAGGGATTTGATGCTGGCAGGCATTTTTGGCAGGTAGAAATAAGAGGCACAGGTGATTGTTTCTTAGGTGTGTGTAAGGAATCTATCCTCAGAAATACTCTCAGATCACCATCCCCAAGCAATGGATGCTGGCAATATCAGCAGAAGACTAATGTACTCCACATTTTCTGTGCAGGGCAACATAAGATTGGCGTTTTTCTGGACTATGAGTTGGGAGAGGTTTCATTTTATAATTTGAAGAGCAGGTCATTCTTGGATGGATTCCGTGATACCTTTACAGAGAAACTTATGCCTTATTTCTCCATTGGACTTTCTTCAGAATCCCTTACAATCAGAGTGAAGTGATGAACAACTTGGGGGGAATTTTGTTTGCTTATTTTCTTCCCTTTTTATTGAAAGGAATACTTAGTATCAAAATCCTGATTCCTCTTTTGATGTTTGAATGTTGAAAGTGTTAAGGACTCACCCTTCTCTCCTCCCTGACCTTACACCTGGGAGAGCTAATGAGAAAGTCCAGGTGCTCCATCCTTGGGGGCAGGGGGGAAGTTCCAATCAAGCAAGTTTCTATCAGTGCCAGCAGGCTCCCAACAACAGCACCCAGTAACCAACATGAACACCACAAGCTAGACCCTTTTCCCTGTGCTCTCAGTCCTTCTGGGATCTATTCTAATATCTACCCTTCTCTCCCCCAAAATGTCACCATGTGAGTAATATACTTTGTCATACTCTTCTGATACGTGGGGAGTCATCATCAGTGTGAACATTTGAAACCAATTTTGGGTGCCTTCCACCCTGCCTGTGCAAGCTGATCACCACCTTTGACATTGTGAGCAGGATTTTCCAGATATGAAGCCCACCGCCAGGGCTTCCTCCTCTGGCTTTGTGTGGTAACACACCCTGGTTCCCTAGGCAAGGGTGTCCTTGCAGTTTGTGCTGCATTTGCTGAGTTCTGGGGAGGCTGTGCTGTAGATTTGACTGACCTAAGTCAGAAGTTTCCATAAGAAACATATTCTATTTACTATTTGTTATTTTCCATGTAATGTTTTTGGGAATTCTAAATGTCTTGCTTTGTGTCTCATGTTTTATAACAATTTCATGTGCAGGGCTGAGCAAAAGCAGGTTGACAATAGTGTTACAAATATGTACAGTAATTAATAACAAATAACAAGAGAATAAACTTTTGCCTGCCAACAACTGTAAACATACCTTTGTTTTAAATTTCTCAACTGCACCTAGATGGAGTGGTTCAGTGGTTGAGCATCGATCTATGAATCAGAAGGTCTCGGTTCATTTTGATTCCCAGTCAGGGCACATGCCCAGGTTTTGGGTTCAATCCACAGAGTGGGGTGCGCAGGAGGCAGCCTATCAAGGATTCTCTCTCATCGTTGATGTCCCTAACTCTCCCTCTTACTGTCTGAAATCAATAAAAAAAATGTTTAAAATAAAATCATCACCTGATGATGTTTACTGATAGAGAGAGAGAGAGAGAGAGAAGGAGAAACAGAGAGAGAGAAACATCAATGTGAGAGAGAAGCATCCATCAGTTGCTTCCTGAACTCACCCTGAGCACGAATTGGACCCAAAGCCTATGTGCCCTGACTGAGAATCAAACCTGCCCACTTTTTGTTGTGTGACAAGACATTCCAAGGAACTGAGCCAAGTGGCCAGGGCTGTAAAGCTATGTTTTCCAACCACTGTATGACCTGCCAAGGTCACATGCTCATTTTGACCTTATGGGAAATTGTCAACCTTTGAGAACACGCTTCTGTTTGTATGCCTGTATGGTATTGTTTACAATGTTTGGAAATAAAGTCTTACTGTGCATATCTCTGTACTATTTGTCTCTCCATAACTGGAAAAGTTTCTCCTCAGAGCTTTTATTGAGGTACAAGGGACCACTGCACTGATCAGAGTGGCCCTGCTATGCTGTGGTGATATTTATTGAGGTACAAGGGACCACTGCACTGATCAGAATGGCCATGCTATGCTGTGGTGATCTCAGGTGCTTATTGTTGTAAAGTGCAATGTAGGCCAGCAGGCGCTGCTCCATTACCCACCCAGGGATCTAACTCCCTCAGTCATGTGTTGTCACAGCACTGGGTCAGTACAACTAGAGAAAGAGGGAGCATTGAAGGCCACCCTGAGCACTGAAGGCCAACACCAGGAAGAGACACACACTTTTCTTTTTTTCCATTTTCTAAAAGTCATTGTAAGGCCCTACTTCGCTGCAAGGGGTGAAGAAGAATGCATGTATTGTGAGGTGAAAAGCTACTGTTTGCCATGATTCATGAATACAAGTAGACATTAGTGAAATGTACATTAATGATGAGTGGGAGAATGAAAATCTTTCATAAGAACTGCTAAAAATATTACCATAGGAATTTACAGTAGTTTGACTTAATCCTATAGCAGTTGTTCAATAACTTCACCTACAAAGAAGATATTTACTTTAATTAAAATATTATTTATTTGTTTGAAATATAAAGCACTATTATTTTGAAAATAGGTGACTCATTAGAAAATGAATCATTGAAACTAATGTCTAAATACAATGGCATAAAAAAACATAATTGGGAGAGACTTCTGTTAACAGGTAGAGTCAGAGCTACCTTTTTAAAAAATATATATTTCATTTATCTCAGAGAGGAAGGGAGAGGGAGAGACCAACAGAAATATCAATGTTGAAAGAGAATCATGGATTGGCAGCCTCCTGCATGGCCCCCACTGGGGATAGAGCCCAAAACCCAAGATAAACATGGATGTGTGAGCGACACATCCATTGGTTGTCTCCTTCAGGAGCCCTGATCAGGGCCTGGGACACAGCCTGCAACCAAGGTATGTACTCATGACCAGAATCAAATCCCAGACCATTCAGTTCAAGGCCAATGCTCCACCCACTGAGCCAAACTGGCTAGGGCCATCTAGCAAATGTTGTATGAGCTCTCACTCGATATGAGGCCCTGAGCCAGAAGCCTGGATGCACAGATCGTGTCGGAGTCCCCACGATGAGAGAACTGACCTTCCAGAGATCATGTGGCTTGAGGACTTCCTCCACAGGAATGGCTGTGTCCAAACAGGAGTAGGATAAATGTTTTCCTTAGTGAGTAAAACTAATACCTGGATTGTAGCTATTTTCCAATGAACATCATTTAGGTTTATTTGTTGGGAAACATTTTAAAAATTAGAACAATATAGATAAATTTAGTAAAAATCACTTAAGTAGGACACACTGAAAAGCAAATTGCTCTCTCATCATGGAGAGAGGTCACCCAACCTCCTTATACCTTTTCCTGCCTGACCATCCTTAAGTGTCTTCTGTATCCATCCAAAAACATCCTAATCATACACAACACACAAGTATAGACACAGATTATATATTAACTAGGGGCCCAGCACACGAATTTGTGCACATTGAAAGGAGCTGTGGGCTGTGAGACATCAGTGGGCACAGGGGCGGGTCTTGGCCCATTCTCCACGCCCCGGCCCACCTGGCCCCTTGTCCCCTGTCTGCCGGCAGCCCCACCGTGTGATGAAAGCACCGGCCCAGCTGGAACAGGCTGATAGCAGTTTTGAGCAGTGACTGCTTCCCCGGTCGCCACTCAGGAGCAAGGGGAGGTGGAGAAGCTTTTAGGGGCAATTGAGGCCAGCAGTCACCACTTGCACCCACTAAGAGCACTGAGCAATCAGGACAGGCGCTGGCCGCAGGCAGCGGCTGCAAGCAGCAGCTTCAGTTCCAGCTGTGGGTGTGAGTGTTGCCTGCGCTGGCAGTGGGTGTGAGCGCCCAGTGCACAGGAGCAAAGAATTTTCAGTAACCACTTGTCTTGATGACAGTGACCAGCACCCCACCATGGTTTGGCGCCCCCGTTCCACCATGCCACCATGGCCAATGCCCACCATGTTCCGTGCCCGCCCCCTGGTGGTCAGTGCATGTCATAGCGGCTGGTTGTTCAGTTGTTTGGTTGTTCTGCCATTGGGTCTATTTGCATATTAGCCTTTTATTACATAGCATTGTTCCATAATACAATATGAGACAACTATGTGCTGTGTTCTACACTTTCCTTTAAAAAAATAATCATAAGAACTCTAGCCAGTTTGGCTCAGTAGATACTCCGTTGATCTGCCGACCAAAGGGTCTGAGTTGAACTCCATACAAGGCCACATACTTTGGTTGCAGGCTCTTGCCCGACCCGGGCCCTTGTCTGGGCTCATGCAGGAGGAACCAACTGTTGCTCTTAGGTCAGTGTTTCTCTCCGTCTTTC